CGGTCCGGAAGGCGTGGACGACTCGCCCTCGAGCGCGCGGTCTCCGCAGGGGGACCCGCCGGCATCCCCGGGGGAGAAGAGGACCAAGGTCTTGGAGCCGTCCTCCGGGTCGGGTTCGGCTTCGGAAGGGCGCTCCCCGGCGCCCCTGCGGTCCTCGGCCGTGAGCGTGGAGGGGGCGGCGTCCTGGCTGCGCTCGGAGCTCTTGGGACTGGCTTCGCTGTCCGATCGGCTTTTGGTCACGTCGTCGTCGTCGTCGTCGTCTCTGGGGCCGCCGGGCTCCGGCGGGGCGCGGTCGGGGGCCGCCAAAGCGCGGCGCCGCGGCGGAGTTCCCGTCGGCATCGCCGTCAGAACTCGGTACGCGATTGTCCGATGACTTCACGCAGCGATAAAAAAAAGGCAAAAAAAAAAAAAAAAGACACAAGGAGACATTTGACCTTTTTTTTGGCCCCGCCCCCGTCCGAAATCTCATTTTATTGCGATTCTCTCGGCATTTTTGTCTGCGAGCAATGTGAAATCCTCCGCTTTTCTGTCCTCTGCCCCATGCACAGGGCACAAGGCCAGGAGGGAGAATGTGAACACGGGGCCTGTGTCTGCAGAGAGTTGGGTGACTGGTGGACAGTGCTACTGCTAATGCTAACACTTTCAGGTAGAGTCCACACCACCAGAGGAAAAGCAAAAGCAGTTTTTACAATGGATTGGGAGGGGGAGAGAGTGAGCTATGACATTACGAAACAAAACTGAGGATGACAAATCACTATACACATTATTAGGAACCCCAACACCATATGAAAATGCATCCATCTATTTATTTGGTATCACGCATGTCCTCAGGTCACGGGTAAGCTGGAGCCTTCACCAGAAGACTCTGGGTGAGAGGTGGGGGTACACCCTGGACTGGTTGTAGGTCATAGAGCATAAATAGACAATGATTTTGTATGGACAATTTCAATTGTTCACTGAACCGAACATGCATATTTTTAAAATTTGGGTGTGAACCGCAGTACCTCCAGAAAACCTTTTTTCATTTATATTATTCAATACTTTATGGCTTGTTGATATTTAATTGAAGCTTGTGAGAGTATCGATACATTGATACCATGGAAACAATACTCCTATCACTCAGGCTCACTCTGGTGAGAAGATGAACAGCCAAGCCCTCACAAAATCTCAAGAGGGTGACTCATCTATCTATTAATTTCCTGGAAAAAGGTATGAGGGAAGGAAGGGTGGGCAAAGGAAGCAATGACAATGTGCGTTATTCATCAAATTCAGAGTTGAAGTTACAAAGACAAGAAGAGCAAATTCAGCTTTTGAGTGCCATGTCAGTACTAGACAAACATACAGAGATTAGATGTGGTAGATATATTAGATAAAATAGATACCGTAGATAAGGGGTGTGAAACTGAACCCAAATATATGTATGATAGTCTCATAGTACAGGAAAAGCTTTGTTCAAATATTCTTACATTTATTTTAAAAGGGGGATTAGGAACAAAAAACGCTTGCAGCATCAACATTTTTAAAACTGAAGATAATTTACAGGTTTGGTATTTTAGCAAGAAATATGAAGCCGGTGCACATGGTTTGCTCTTGCTGACCACATAAAATGATGTGGCGGGCCAGATCAAGCCCCCGGGCCTCGAGTTTGACACATGTGCTGTAGATGGACAGAAAAAAAGTGTGGGATGAGAGAGATGGATAAAATAGATAAGATAAAATTCATCATATATTTTATACCTGCATATCCGGTAAGGGAAAACAGCTAAAATAAATTTGTCTACTGTATTTTGTGATTTGTGTTGCTTTACTTCTTTGTCAAAGAAAAAAAAGTCACCTTTCCATAAGACAACCATCTGAACATAAACCCTCGCTGTGTATAACCACCATTGTAGGAACAAAAAAAAAAAGTCAAAAGTAAAAAAACTGAAAGGAGCAAAAGACAACATCAATCCACCCCATGGTTGATGACAGAGTCAGCTGAGCATGTGATTACATGTTAGGATCGCTGAGCTACTTCAGTCAAGAAAATATCTGGCTTCTTGGTCTAATACAGACCAATTGTTCTCCTGTGTTTAAAACCCCTAAAAATAATAACATTTTCTCAACCATACAATCACCAAGCCCTACTTATATTGTTCTTTGGAAAGTAACCAACACTGTGTCGGTGTCAGTTTTTGTTCTACAAGATACAACTTTTTGTGATGTAACCTACAGGGTTCACAATTGAACCCCTAGGTTCAAGTAAGTTTATGTCTGGTTTATTTTTAGGATTCTAGTTTTCTTGTTGCAAGGATATTTTGAAAATGTTGTATTTGAACATATGAAGTAACAGCCAAGCCACCATGGTGACTTGCTAAACAAATCAACAGTGGAGACTTCGACAAGCGTGTGTGGTATGAACATCAATGGCAAAAGACAAATCACTGCTGACTGTAACATTTATACCATTGTTGAGAAGATGAAATTACATTTTTATGACGACAAATACTGAGAAATTGGGAAAATATGATTTTATTATTTTTATTTTTTTGACTGCCTGTAAAGACATATATTCCAGATGACTGGAGATAGGCAGCCTTGCTCTCTCAGGAATGCTATGCATGACTACTTGAATTTGTTGTTGGCTTGAGTAGGCCGGCTCCCAAAGACTTCACATGGAACAGACCACACTTCCTCACTAAATTTAGGAATAACTCATGTCAACTTGATTTATTTTTGCTTCAATAAAACCCGGTTCACATTATTTACGTTTACAATGACTACTAGCGAAACTGGCTATGTTTTATATGGTGACCGTAAGATGCTATAAATCCAGTTTGAATTTGAAGTTGTATACTGTACTGCATCAAGTACACGAGTGTGCTCAAATGCAACATTTGAGAGGCAAAACTTGACGAAAATGATGTGTTTTTAAGACAGGAAAACGAAGTAAAATGACAGAGAATAAGACTTCATTACCTTTTTTCTCCTGTCACCGTTTTATTTGAGACACTATGGTTAATGAATTACTTTTCACAGTCATTGTTTTATTTGGGACACTGTGGTTAATGAAACACTTGGCGCTGAAAAAAAACACAAGTGTCGACAACTCGGACACGTTGACACTGAGTAATGTTATTGGACAGCTTTGGCAACTTGACAACCTGAGGCGCCACGTTAAAGGCGTGATCCAACACGCCGACTTGGAACACCAAAACTGTGCACTGCAAACGAAGCGGGCAGTTTGAGCAGGTTTTCAAGCACTTACATTTAAAGTTTGCAAAACAGCTCATGCGTTTTGGGCGGGCTGTATGGAACTTTACCATAAACAAAAAAATCACGTTCTCAACTCACCATTTCACGACTTCAAACAAGTGCTACAGTTGATCCCTTTGGTGTAATCCTGTCCCCGTTAAAAAGCAATGTTGGGCATTACCGAAAAGACATCAATACACTTTCTCCTGGTATCCTCCTGAACAAGAATCACTTCGATGCAAACAGGCTCCATCCTGGGAAAACCCTCGTATCCAGGGCTAGTATCTGATTGGTCAATGGCCGAGCTCAGAACGCGCCCATTGGCGGAATGAACGCGTCAATCAATTTGCCAACGTCTTCCTCTCCAGGAGGAATGGAATGTGCTCACGTGACTTGTGAGGTGGCTCCCCACTGCACAGCTGTCCAGAGGTTTGGGATCGATGGATGATCTTCTGAAGTAGCACGCTTGCTTTCTAATCGCTCTGTTTCCCGTTTTTATATTAATGATTAATACCCAATGATCATTTCATTAACTTCACGCCCACACACTGATGAGATTCAATGAAAGAGTTGAATCAAAAATGTGCTGATTTACACTCTGGCGCTATTTAACAATATGTTATTGTTGTTGTAGGTTACACATGTGCGTTGCGTCATAATGAAATGTGTATGTGTATTTTGCCACTTTCATGTTGGAACTAAACCATTAGGTAGAAGTCTTAATATGATGGAGTGTTCACCTGCGATTCCGAATTTCTCAAACACTGTGTCCTGGGAGATTATCAGATGTACTCTGGGATATTATGCATTTACATTTAATTCGTTCTAAACGTATTCGTTTTTACGACCAAAAAAAGTATGTTTATTCATTTAACTATGCCAGTGAGTCAGTGACCTCTAGTGACAGGCGGGACGACTAAATTGACGTCAGATCAGCGCCACATTTTTTTTCTCAGCGCCACATTTTTTTTCTCCTAAGGCGGACATTCATTGACCAATTTGTGAGGACGTCAATAAAAAAATTGATTTTTATAACTTCCTATTTATGAAATTGTTCTTGTTTTTTTTTCTCCTCGGTAAAAGTATGATGCAGAGAACGAGCATGTTTGGCCAATTAAAAATATTCAACAATAAAAACACATTAGACACTATTTTGAACTGTACACTACAATGCTGGAGGGACTTTTTCGGAACTACAGTACACAGATTTCTGACGGGGCTATAGCACCATCTAGACCCAGTGGAGTGCAGTCCATGTAAAACCTGTTGCCATTCAATATCGGAAAAAAAACTTTACGTTAAACTGAACAGGCCCAAGTTTCACACTAAGTTAATTTTGCGACTTAATTTTTGACAAGATCGTTTGTAGCATGTAGTGCATACTGTATAATTAGTGACAATTTTGTTTGGTGGTCTGCCATAAGTTTTGTACAGTCATTGTTCTTTTGCTCAGTACCTGTAGGAAGCGGTTGTCACGCCCTGTTTAATATCAGTCTTCTATGGACACAGATAAAGATTTAACAGCTAAATTGGAAAGTGTTTTATCCATCTATCCATCCATCTATTATCTATCACTTATCTGGGGTCACGTTATGGAAGCAGTAGCTTCAGCTCGGAAGCCCAGACTTCCCTCTCCCCTCATCTGGCTCCTCTCGATGTGGAGGAGCACAGGCTTGATTCTGAGTCCCTTCCGGATGACCGAGTTTCTTACCCTATCTCTAAGGGGGAGTCCGGACATCCTGCAGAGGAAACTTTATTTTTAATTTAAAAAAAAATCTCTATTCTTAAACAACACAGTTAAAAATGCACTTCGAATGAAGTAACAGGTAAAACAGAGTGTCGTTTTATATTAAGCAGGGCTGTCGGTAAAAATATTGTAATAACGTGAACACAGTAGAGTCAGAGTGTTGGCTAATAAACCAGTCTTTCCCAAACAGATGGGATGTGTGTGTGTGTGCGTGTGCGTGTGCGTGTGTGTGTGTGAGAGAGAGAGAGAGAGAGAAAGAGAGAGAGAGACTCATGCCTTTTTTTTGCAGTACCAGATTAAAGTACAATTGTACATTCACTACTGTAGGTGGTAGAAGTGACCTCTTTTTTCATGCAAATTGATACTGTAATCTTTACTGTTATTCATGCACGCACGCAAATAATAATAGTTATTCTATTCAACTGAATGCGCAGCGAATGTGAAGCCATGACTTGAAGATGAAAGAATTTTGACAAAAGACACTTCTTCCAAGGCTTTTGTGGAGGTATTTCCAGAGCGACGTGGAGGAGGAAGCATTTGTGCAAGGTACGTCGTTAAAAACAAGTCAATACAACAAGCCAGTTGAATCATTTTATCAAGTAGCACCCAAATGATGAAGTGGAAAGCATGTAAATGCGAGCAGAGTTCGCACAAACTAAAAATAAATCGTTTTTTTTTTTATTTCACAGTTTAAGTCAACTTAAATTGTAAGGAAGCCATTTATAAAATGAGGGAAAGCAACGTCCTTGCTACTCCTCAGCTTGCATGGGGTTTGACAGAAACATCAGCTTGATCCCCTGTAATGTTTACAGGTTCCATTTTATGGTCAAAGTTCCAGGCAAGAGAGTTGAACAGTTGCATGGTCTTCTTGTAGGTCCAAAATGGATTAATGATAACGGTGAGCAGAGTCAGGCCAATATAGAAGATGAGGCGTAAGGTCAGGGGATAGTTGTTGTTGACTGCTGCCCAGTGGCTTAAGCATACCCACCAAATGTAGTAGGTGACGACCATGCGAATATGGAACGTGTGGATCATCACCCATTGGTTGGCTTTCCAAAGTTGACTCTTGCCCCATCCGACCTAGCACGGAGAGAGAAAGTTATTAAAACTTGACAGTACATAGTGTATATATAAGTGCTTCCGTTGTGACACGAAGTAATATCATTTGTTGCATTAAGCAGGTGTATGTTAAAAAAAAAAAAAAAGGATAACGTGGCAAAGGGTATTTGAGGTGTGTGATGAAAATTAGTTTGACACTTCTGGTTTAGAGCTATTGAAAAGCAAAACCAACTTGAGCACCTCAAGATAGAGCCGAAGATGAGAAACAATTAAAAAGAATGCTCAATATAAAATTTTGGGTGAAATTGTATTTATAAAAGTATTTTCTCTTGTGTTTTATGAATTGATACCATGCAATGCTGTGCTGGTGAGTTTCACTTTTCTACAATATTCAAATTCAGAGGAATGTTGGTAAAAACAGCCGATTTTTCTGATTAAAAAATGACCAATAGAGCAATTCACAAAGTTTGTTTCCCTTTTTTTTTTCAAATGTGAATAATAGGATGTGCATTAAGTCCATACTCACTAATATGGTTGAAGCACCGGTTGCTTTTAATGACAATCTCAAAAGACTACCGGCAATCTTGGTTTCATCACAATGTCACATCACACAAGCTCTAGGGAGCTTGTTTGTTTTCATATTACATGAAACCTGTCGACATTTCTATTTGAAATTGAAGTAAAAAGAAAACATTTCAAAGGTATCACCGTTTCCATTTTCTTTTGCATGAAAATTGTTTTTGGTTGCAAATTATTATGGTGCTTTCGTTCCCCGGGTTTTTGATTTTTGAAGCAAGATTGTGGTCATGACAACCGTAATAATTTTGGTCATTCAGTATTGTGATGGGACACTTGAAGATCTTTTTATCTGTAATAAATACATCAACTTGAAGCGTATAAGATCAGTTTACCTTCTGAAGCATCCAGGATATGCAGATGAACGGCGTGCTCATCTCCAGCAGGAGAGCCACGACTGGCACATAGTGGCCACCGGAATCCGATATGAATGCCAGGCAAAAAAATACTGACAACGCGTATAAATGATGAATTGCCAGGGCAAGGTCAAATGACCGAAACACCAAATTGTAGGTGTGAAATGCTACATTCTCAAAGAGAAAGTAGCCTGCGGTGGTGAAGATCATGGACCACGACCAGTTCTCCTGTCCCCTCATGATGTCTCTGCTGAACTCAGAATCCCAAGTGAGTGCTGTTAAACCAGCTACTAAACTCTGGATGCCGAACACTGAACGGGTAGCTAAATGGTTCCAGTAGAACTTCTGTTTAGCTTGCAAGGTGTTGTACACGTGCGAGAGTGTTGAAGACAGCAGGTGAAAGAAGAGCAAGACAGAAGCATAGAAGCCAAAACATAGGCCAATAAGTTGGAATCGAAATTCTAGCATGGCCTGGGAGGTAGAATTCGACGGAGGCAGCTTCTGCCCAGGATCCATTGTCAGGACGAAAGAGATCACCAACTTTGATAGAAATGAGGTTCCGGTCACCTGCAAGGTTTAAGGAGGTGTGCTGAGTGAGGCATCCAAGCGTATCAAGAAAAGGGTGGGGGGCATTTCCGCAGAGCATATCAAGGCGTGCTCATATTGGGGAATTGAAAGGCATCTAATTAGGTTTTACACTTGGATATGTACACTTAATTACAGCTTATTTTACATTTTGTAATATTGATATTTTTTTAAGTACAGTCACATTAGCTTTGAAATTTAAGAGATTGGTAAAAACAAAGGTAGTCAATTTATTTTGTCAGCGGATGTAAATAGCTGATGGAAGGAGTGGCAGACAGAATCTCATCAAGGGCTCCAAATCCAGTGGGACCGGTTCTGCTGTCAACAGAAATTTTATTCTCCCAAATCCACCAAGCCGCCACACGCAAAAAAAAAAAAAAAAAAGACACAAGGAGACATTTGACCTTTTTTTTGGCCCCGCCCCCCGTCCGAAATCTTTTTTTATTGCGATTTTCTCGGTACGCGATTGTCCGATGACTTCACGCAGCGATAAAAAAAAGCCCAAAAAAAAAAAAAAAAAAAAAAGACACAAGGAGACATTTGACCTTTTTTTTGGCCCCGCCCCCGTCCGAAATCTCATTTTATTGCGATTCTCTCGGCATGCGATTGTCCGATGATTTCACGCAGCGATAAAAAAAGCACCAAAAGAAAAAAAAAAGACACAAGGAGACATTTGACTTTTTTTTTGGCCCCGCCCCCCATCCGAAATCTCGTTTTATTGCGATTTTCTCGGTACGCGATTGTCCGATGACTTCACGCAGCGATAAAAAAAGGCACCAAAAAAAAATAAAAACGCATCGCGGCCTTCGCTGACGTCGGCCTTCCACGCGTCTTCCGGACACCCGTGTTGATCGACACGCTTATGGGCACGTTACAATCATTTAGCATGCTGGGAGAGGTCGACTGCTTTCTACAATGCTCGTCAATATGGGGGGGCG